TTGTATCATTTCTTTTTAGATTCTGCATAAAATGGATGCCATATGATATTTCTTCTTCTCTATATGACTTATTTCACTCAGGATGACAATCTCTAGGTCTCTCCATGTTGCTGCAAATGGCATTATTTCGTTCTTTTTAATGGCTGAGTGATTTTCCATTGTATAGATGTACCACATCTTCTTTATCCATTCCTCTGTCTATGGACATTTAGGGAAAGAAAGTGAAAGTGTTCATCAGTCATGCCTGACTCTTTGCGACATCATGAACTGTAGCCTGCCAGATTCCCCTGTCCATGGAATTCTCCAGGTAAGAATACTGGAGTGGGTTGCCATTTCCTTCTCCAGGGGACCTTCCTGACCCAGGGACCGAGCTCGGGTCTTCTACATTGCTGGCAAATTCTTTACTGTCTGAACCACTAGGGAAACTCCTAATATTCTATTGTATATAACTACCACATCTCCTTTATCCATTCCTCTGTCGATGGACATTTAGGTTGGCCAACAAACCTTTATTGTTGGTTACCATAATGAAAACACCACAGATTGGGGGTGGGGGGAAACTTAAACAACAGGAATTTTTTTTTAGAGCTCTGGAGGCTGGAAGCCCAAGATCAAGGCATTGACAGGTTTCGTTTGTCCTGACATGTCTCTCCTTGGCCTGCAGGTGGCGCCTTCTTGCATGGCCTTATTACATCCTTTCATGGTCCTTCCCGTGTGCAACTCTGGTGTTTCTTTCGTGTCCAAATTTCCTCTTCTTCTAAGGACACCAGACAGATTAGATTAGGGTCCACCTATTTGATTAACCTCATACCTCTTTACATACCCTGTCTCCAAATGCAGTCACATGTGAGGTACTGAAGGTTGGGGCTTCAGCACATGAGTTTGGGGAAACACAGTTCTGCCCATCACACNCCTGCAATGCAGGAGACCTGGGTTTGATCCCTGGGTTGGGAAGATCCCCTGGAGGAGGGCATGGCAACCCACTCCAGTATTCTTGCCTGGAGAATCCCATGGACAGAGGAGCCTGGTGGGCTATAGTCTATGAGGTAGCAAAGAGTCAGACACAACTGACATGACTTAGCATACACGTAAAGAGGAGAATTTTTCTTTTTTATAAACAGAGGTGAGACAGAGTGATCTTAGTAGTCTGTTAACCCCATAGCTGGGAGATCTTTTATTCTTTATACCGATTTTACCGAAATGAAACTCATTGCCCTGGTACTTACTGCAGTTTTTAATAGTCACATCCTGATTGTAGCCAATACCGTGGTCTTCCTCAATGCTGTGGTCACTAGTGAGTGTCTTTCTGTCTGGGCCTTGATGGAAGAACCTCTCCACACCCTGAAAAGGCTTCAGCCTGAAAAGCAGGTGGAAACAAGGGAGGCAGGGGCTTCATGGTGAGGCCGGCACAGTGGGGAAGAGGCAGGATGGTGCCTGGGGCTGGGGTCTCCCACTCTGCGGGAGAGGATGTCCTGTGGTTAGTGTCCTGGTCCTGTTCTGACCCTCATCATGGACTTGTGGTCCTGCTCTGCGCTGGGTAGGACTAATTCCAGCTGGAATCTCCTGAATTTGAAATATGAGAAAATTGTAATCCATGGGTTCAGTGGTTCTTAACATGTGGTCTCAGACTAGCAGCATCATCTGGGAATTAGTTCAAAATGCACCTATTGAATTAGAAACCCTGGGGCCAGGACCCAGAAACCCATGTTTTTCCAAACTCTCCAGAAGTTTCTGTGCACGCTGAAGGTTGAGACCGCTGCTTTGTTTTTCTCACCACCTATGCAGAGAAGCTGCCAAACAGGTCTAGGAGCAGCCTTATTTTCCTAAATGGAAACTTACCCAACAACAGTTTGAGTCCTGAGTTCAAACCCAGGCTGACAAGATCTGAATTTCTGGGGGATGGAGAAAAGACCTGGTGATCTCTATCTTTCTAAACTAGCGCCTCAGGTCATTCTTTTCCTGGGGGAAGTTTAGAGGCCCTTGGTACTCAGCTGACATCATGTAGGGGTGTTCGGGAAGGGAAGAGAACTCACAAAGTGCTGAGTATAGACTGTAGGTCAGGCACTTCCTGCAGACATTTGTAACAACCCTGTAAAGTGAAGTTTCTTTAGTTGCTCAGTCATGTCCAACTCTCTTGGATCTCATGGACTGTAACCCGCCAGGCTCCTCTGTCCATGGGTTTCCCACGCAAGGATACTGGAGTGGGTTGACACTTCCTCCTCCAGGGGATCTTCCTGACCTAGGGATGGAACCTGCATCTCCTGCATGTCCTGCATTGGCAGGCAGGTTCTTTACCACTGAGCCACCAGGGAAGTTCAAAATGGCCATACTTTAACGTAAAAATTCCACTTGAGGATTCATTCATCTAAGAAGTTCATTTAGAATATAAGACAAGCCACATGTACCTTCTCATTTATTCATTGTGATAGTAGTGGTAAGAGTAAAAATTTGGAAGCACTTTTGGTGCCCTGTAATATGAATAAATGATTAAATTCCTATTCAATAAGCTGTTACATACCTTCCAAAATAATGATCCTGAAGATTATATGACAACACAGAAAATACTTAAAATGTCATGGCTTAAGGGAAAAGAGCTAGAAATGATACCATCAAATTTAAAAGATGGAAAGAAAATATAGTCAATGATCACAGCTGTGTTTGGGTAATGATATGATGGTAGTTTTTTTTTTTTTTTCTTTCCGCTCATGATTATTTTAATCAGTTTCCAATTTTATAAGTTAGAAAACCAATTAAAAGCACTCAAAGAAAAAAGTCAGTTTTAAAGCCAGAAAGAATGAGATGGAGTTACTTTAAAGTTGGCTGTCCCTCACGTTGTTTCATGAGGGATTTCACATGGGACAAAATTACAGTTAGAGCAATTTGTTGGGGGGTATGCATTGATTCTGAGAGTTGTTGGGGTGGCTGGAAAGAATAATAGCATGAGAGACTAGACCCTCCCACCTCCAGCTGCTGGTAATTCAACCTAGGGCTTTAAGAACCAATTTCTGCCCATTCAAAGTGTGGTTTGTCCCCGGAGACCACCTCCCGCAGGCCATTGTGATGGTGATGGAGCAGGCTGTGGCCTGGCCTCCTCACCAACTCCCAGAGGACCCAGCGTTCAATGGAGGAGCCTGGGCAGCTGTCTCCGCGAGGGTTGCTGGTCAGCAGAGACCCTGAAGTCTGTGCAATGCTGACCTGGAGGCGAACAACCCCCTTTCTCATACCCACTCCCCAGAGGCCACAGTCCCTCATTAGAGTACAGTTTCTAATCTAAACAACCATTAATCTTTCTCAGGGTTAAAAGGCCAGAAAAGCAGTTTTTGCTCTCTATTTTGATACTGTACTTGTCTCTGTTTAACAAGAGCAGACTTACCTCATTGACCACTGGAAAACACCCCCCAGCTGTGTCCACAGACACACGCACAAGGACAATCCCAGCACAGCCCTCCTCTGCGCATGGGAAAGGGACAGAAATGCAACACACCAGCTATTTATTGTGGCTTGTGGCAAAAATCAAAGAAACAGGACCTGCGTGAAACAAATTGGTGATTTTGTATCAAGAAATAAATTAGGGATGATGTAGTTTAAGTGAAAATGCCACCATATGTGATAATTTTATGAAAGTAATATTATATAAACTCTTGACTATGATTCCTTTAATTTTCCTTTCCTTAACAACTAAATTAATCCATGTAAATGGAGCCGTGACCCCCAAGAACAGTTTGATCATTTAAGGAAATCAATAGATAAGTAGGATTCAACTTGAAAAAATTTATGTAATTGTTGTTTCAGATACACAAAAATGTTTGGTTTACAGAAATTGACATGATCTCTTGCCTCATACTCAAGTCAAGAAATACATCTCTTCTGTATTCTCAAATTGTGAGGACTGAAATGATGGGTATTAGGATTAAAAACACGAGGCTTCCTAAATCTGTTTCTTCATACTTGACCTTTAAATTAAATGGCAACCCACTCCAGTGTTCTTGCCTGGAGAATCCCAGGGACGAGGGAGCCTGGTGGGCTGCCGTCTATGGGGTCGCACAGAGTCAGACACGAGTGAAGCGACTTAGCAGCAGCAGCAGCAGCAGCAAAAGATCTCAGATTGACAGAGTTTCACTGTTCTCTACCTTATTCACAAAGCTTCTGCTTTCAGAATCCATGATTCCCCTAAAAAGCTGGAGGGAATTTTAGCTAGATATAGTCTGCAAGATAGAGCTGAAATTCTATTGGAACTGCCTTGTGCTTGCCTTTGGGGCACTTGGAATAAAGAATTTGAACACTCATTCTATAGGAACTAAAACTACACCTCAGTGATTCTAAGTTAAAAAAAAAAACATATGTATACATATAATTATCTATAACTATATATGTGCTCAAAATTATGGGGAGAACATATATTTTAAAATTTTGTTATTTTTTAGTGGTGATTATCTTCTGGATGGCGCATTGTGAACAAATATTTTCTTCTGTGTTTCTTTGTATTACCAGGTTTTGGTACTGAACATGTTTTATGTGTGTAATTAGAGAAGACTGCCTGCCCAATAAACAATATTTAAATGTTATTTTTAAAATCCCAAGTAAACAAAGATGTTTAAAGAGATAAACCTGCCCCAGGCAGGTTGAATGGCACAGTAATGCCCTTCTCTGTTTTTTTTTTTTTTAAATCAGATGTAATTAGGTACTTTACTTGATTAAAACTTTAATCCAATTTAAAATACAGATAAATCTGCAGGTACACTCAAACCTAGAGCTTCCCAGGTGGCTAGTGGCAAAGAACCTGCCTGCCAATGCAGGAGATGCAAAGAGATTCAGGTTTGATCCCTGGGGTTGGTAAGACTTCCTGGAGGAGGAAATGGCAACCAGTTCCAGTATTCTTGCCCAGGAAACCCCATGGACAGAGGGGTGGGCTACAGTCTATAGGGTCGCAAAGAGTTGGACATGACGGAACAACTGAGCACACGTGACTTATTTATCTATATACCATTAACGAATACTTAAGTTCTTTCAAATTTTTTATTATTAGAAAATGTGCTGCCAGAAGCACTTTTGCCATATTTCTTTACACACTTGTGCTAGAATTTTACAGGGTAAATTTCTAGATGTGGGGTTGATTACTGGGCAAAGAGTACATGCATTAACATTTCTGGTAGATATTGAGTATTTGCCCTTTTGATCCATGGAGCAGGGGCAGTCTGCAGGGTTTGGGTAGGAACATGGATCCCTGAAGTCTGTCTGAGGGTCCAGCATGGTGGGCATTTGTCCAGCCTGTCCTATGGAAGTAGCTGGACTTGGAGTATCAGGGAATCTTCTACAGGATAAATTTATATCACATTCAAGCTGGTAACAAGGGAGTTATATGTGGAGGTGAAAAGACAAAATTCTTGCTAGGTCAACTTCTGTTATCAGAACTATGATAGCCAAGGGTAGTTCTTTCAGTGAAAATGAAAATTAATACAGTTTCATTGATGCTTCAAACAGAGCAGATAGATCCTCTTCTGACTGAGGGCGTGGTGCAAGCTTGGTGACTCTTTCCTGAAACAGTAAGCAAAAATAGTTACCCAGGGCTTTGCAAAGACAGTTTGTAAAAGCTACTCAGTATGTAAATTAACTCAGTCATGAGAAACAGTGATTTGATAGTAGTCATAGTTTTAAAAGTCATATTTCTTGTTGGCTTCGTACTCGCTGATTCCCAACTCAGAATTTATCAAGTGATACCTCTTTCCCACAAAGCTGTCAAAAGTCATTACTGTCACCTGAGGGCTTTCTACCCAAATGTACAGAAGCTCACCAGCTTTGGGAAAAACACCACCTACAGTGACCAAGCTATGTGGATCAGGCACCCCTGCCAGGCTCTCCCTGTGGGGAGGGCATGGCCCCAAGCCCTGCATGTGCTGCCAAGGAAAATAGAACAGGGTCATCCTTCTTCAAAGACTTTGCAACTTGGACTTAAGGTATATTAGGAAGGACTTTCACCAGGACATTAACTTTCAGGCTGCGGGCAACAAGTAACTTAAAAAGAAAAATATTAACTAAGATTTTTATCTCTAACTCCCCAAACAAATTCCATGATTCCCTTAATTCCTCCAGTGATCATTGAGTCAAGTCAGCAAAGACAACAGCACCTCCTACTGCTATAGTCACTCCCATCAGTGGCTCCTTAACCCCCAGATTTCCAGGCATAAATGAAATTAAGAAATGTGCCAGTGTTTGGTTGGGTTTTTGTGGGTCTCTGGGTCTGTTTTCTGTGATGAGCACTGGTGTGGGGGCACATCTGGTAGAAGGGGGAAGGTCCATGGGGCAGAGCTTCGGCCAGTACCCCACACAGCAAACAGGTACTCAACAGTTACTGGATGAATAAAGATGGTGGGAGGGGACACTGGCATCTCAAGGTTCACATGTACAAGACAGGACCTGACTCCACCTTCCACTTTTCCTTAGGCAAAAACCTAGGAGTCATCCCTTAAAAAAAAAAAATTATTTGGCTGCTCCAGCATGAAGGATATTTAGTTGCAACATGTGGGATCTAGTTCGCTGACCAAGGATCGAACCCAGGCCCCCTGCATTGGGAACATGAAGTCTTAGCCACTGGACCACCAGTGAAGTCCCTAGGAGTCATCTTTGATTGCTCTTTCTGTTCTCTGCAAGTTCAGTCCATCAGCGTGTCTGTCAGATCTACCTGCCAAATAAATCCCCAATCAGACCACTTCTTACCTCTCCATCCATCACAGCCTGTCTTCCTCACTGCATGCTCCTGTCTTACTTGAAAGTCCTCTAAGAGCTGCTTCCACTTTTGCTCCACTTTCATCCTCTTCAGGTCATTCTCCCCCATGGCAGCCAGAGTGATGGTCCCGCATTACAAGTTTGATCACACCATTTCCTTGCTTAACGCCCTCCAATGCAATTAGAAGAACAAAACCATATCCCCTAACTCCAGCCAGACTGGCCCTGCTTCTCACCCCAGCTCTGATTCTTCTCACACTCACTCAACTCACGTGGACCCATCATCCCTTTTCAGTCCCATGAAAATGCTATCTTCACCCTATCTCAGGGTCTTTCCCCTCTGCCTGAAATGCTTCTCTTAACTCTTCACCTGGCTGCCTCCGCCTACAGAGGCCTTCTCTGATCACTTCCACTGGAGTTCCCGCCACACTGTCCCGTGTGAAATCATTATCTCATCACCCAGGATTCCTTGACTGCTCATCATTATGTGAAGTGATTTCATTCGTATCTTATTTATAGATTTGATCAGATGTCCATTGTCTGTCTTCCTCACTAGAATGTAAGATCCGTGAGAGATGAAAGGGACTTTATTTTCTTAGCTGTATCCCATACAATTCATGATATATATTAAGATGCCAATAAGTATTTGTCAGGTAAAAGTAAGAATGAAAAGAAGGAAGGACTCATTAAAAAAAATTAACTTTAAATGCATCTAAATGTAAAGACCTAAATGTAAGAGCTAAAACCTTAAAACTCTTAGAAGAAAATGGGAAAATGTTAATGACTTTGGGTTTGGCAGTGATTTCTTGGACATGACATCAGCAAACAGGCAACAAAAGAAAAAAGAGATAAACTGGACTACATCAAAATTTAAAACTTTTATGCCTCAAAGGACACTATATCAAGAGTGAAAAGACAACTTTACAGAATGGGAGAAAATATTTTCAAATCATATGTATCTGGTAAGGGGTTAGTATCCAAAATAGATATATAATTGCTACAACTAAATAGCTAAAACCTCCAAACAACTCAACTCAAAAATAGACAAAGGACTTGAATAGATGTTTCTTCAAAGAAGATATATAGCTAACAAGCACATGAAATGATGCTCAATGTCATTAGGAAAATACAAGTGAAAACGGTGAGTTACCATTCGTACCTATTGGGATGGCTATCCAAAAAATGGAAAATAATGGTGAAGCTGCGGAGAAACTGGAACCCTTGTGCAGAATGTAAATGGTGCAGCCACTGTGGCAGCTTGTCAAAAAGCTGTATTACCCTGTGATCCAACAAGTCTATTCCTTGGATATATACTCAAGTGAACTGAAAGCCAGGACTGAAACAGATACTTGTACACTGATGTTCATAGTTGCACTATTCACAGTAGCCAAGCAGTGAAAACAGCCCAAGTGCCCAACTGCAGTAGAACAGATGAACAAAATGTGGCCTGTCCACATGATGAAACGTTACTCAGCCATAAGAAGGAATGGCATTCTGACACATTGAAGGCATTATGCTAAGTGAAGACATTATGCAGACACAAGAGGACAAATATTGTATGATTCCACTTATATGAAGTACCTAGAATAGGCAAATTCAGAGTGACAGAAAGAATAGAGGCTGCCCCAGGCTGGGACTCTTCCTCTGAGTGTGGGGAGTTACTGTTTACCATTCAGCAATAGAGAAGAACTGCTATCTGGGTTGGTTTAAAAATTCTGGGGGCTTCCCTGTTGGTCCAGTGGTTAAGAATCTGCCTTGCAGTGCCGCGGACACCAATTTGATCCCTGATCTGGGAAGATCCCACATGCCCTGGGGCATGCCCACGAGCATGCGATGACTGAGTCCATGTGCTACAACTGCTGAAGCCAGTGCACCCTAGAGCTGGTGCTCCGCAAGAGAAGCCACTGCAATGAGAAACCCGTGCCCTGCAGTTAGAGAGTAAGCCCTGCTTGCTGAAACTAGAGGAAACCTGCATGCAGCAAGGACAGTCCAACACAGCCAAAAAAAAAAAAAAAAGGCTCTGAAAATGAAAAAATAATGGACAGTGCTCATGATTGCATACCACTTACGTGGTATTAGGTAATGGCATTGACTTGTACACTTAAAAATGATTAAAACAGTAAATTTTATGTCAGGTATGTTTTACCACAATTGAAAAAAAGGGATGGGTGGACAGATAGAAGAAGGCTGAGGGACATTGCTGAAGAGCATGGGTGAAGCCAAGGCAAAGCTCTTATCCCAACACATGTTGTACAGATGCTAAAGAATTTTGAAAATCCACAGCAAGGCAGAGACTTGTTCACGGTGACTTATGTACAAGCTTGTTTGTGGCGGGTCTGGGACTGAAGCTGGGTATTTGCTGTGGCTGAAGATGGCCACATTCTGTTCGTAACAGCAGAGTCTTATCTGATGAGCTCAAGGGCCCTTGTGCATGAGGGCTCAGTCGCTTCAGTCGTGTCCAACTCTTTGCAACTGTAAGAACTGTGGCCTGCCAGGCTCCTCCGTCCATGGAATTCTCCAGGCAAGAATACTGGAGTGGGTTGCTATGTCCTGCTCCAGGGAATCTTCTTGACCCAGGGATAAACCCGAATCTCCTGCATTGCAGGCTGTGCCACAGGGGAAGGTTCAAGGGCCCTTAAAACAACCTGTTCATCTTGGGTGACGTAGTTCAGGACTCTCGGCTCAGGCCAAGTTGAGCTCAGCTTCTTTTTCACATTTCTGACTCCCAACAATTGGTTCCAGGCTTCCCTGGTGGCTCAGTGGTAAAGAACCTGCCTGCCAATGCAGGAGACATAAGAGACACAGGTTCGATCCCTGGGTTGGGAAGAACCTCTGGAGAAGGAAATGGCAGCCCACTCCACTATTCTTACCTGAGAAATCCCATGGACAGAGAAGCCTGGTGGGCTACGGTCCAAGGGGTCACAAAACAGATATGACTTCACTGCTAAACAACAACAACAAACAACTGGTTCCACAGGGGTAAGGTCTGTGATATTTCCTTGCACAGATCACCCATGCCCTGTAAAAGCTAATATCTGAGGAATCAGACGTGCTCCGCACCATGCTATTATTTATAGATACACAAGACTGAAGGACAGCTGAGTAACGCAGACACTGAAATAAATTCAGACTACCACTTTTAGCTCATTCATAAAGCAACATTTCAACGGGCCTGTCTGCCAGGGAGTGGAAGTGCTCACTTTGGTCCATGGCTCTTCTCAGTAATGAGATGTTTTGATTTGAGATGTAAATGTTTCTTTCCAGAGGTTTCAGAAATCCAGCCGGGAAGGTTCATGTATTCTTGCCTGCCCCCGAGCAGCCAGGCTATGGCGATTGGACACCTCTGTCCTCCGGGCTCCTGTGTGCTGCCACCAGTAGGGGCTGTGGTATTGGTCAGGAATGACTAGCCTGGTTGTTCCTTCCAGCGAAAACCGATCCCCCTTTGCTGAACATAAAAGAAGCTTTATCAAATGTCGACTACACAAAACATCCTTTCTGGTGATGTTCTCTGCAGCAAGCAGTGTATCCCTCTCACCACCTTAAGTCCTGTAAATGCCAACAAGTGAAGATGAGTCTGTTGCCTGTGTACCATTCTGAAACTGCCATAGCATTCCTGCAAAATGTTCACTGCAAACCTCCCCTGCAAAATCCAAAAACTAAACAAAAATCCAATAGTAATTCAACTGCAAAATAGACAAGCTTATTCCTAAGATTCCTTTTAAAGTCCTATGACTATTCCCCCTTCCCCTTATATACACATATAAATCTCTCATGTTGACTTCAAAATTGAACTAGTGCCAGTGAATTCAAATGAACTGTGTTTCTCCTAATCGTGAAAACATGATCAAAGGGAAAAAAGGCAGCATCCGGTTGGGGGGCTGCTTTATGAACACAGCTGAAGGAAATCCTGGCTTCCTACTTTACAGACATGATTTGTATTCAAAAGATTCAATTTATCTCGCATCCTTTGTGAAACTAAGAAATTAGTCTGCTATCTGTCATTTCCCGTTATGGCATGTGCACTGAGGCATTCAGAATGATACTGAATTAACTTGCTATTTTAGTGGATGGTCTTGAGTGTTAGTCTGGACCTGTTGCCATTTGGAACAGCTTTTGCCAATAGAAGCCTGGATAGAGTAGAATTAAAACTGTCCACACCTGCTGGTGTGTGCTGATGGCTAGAAGATGCACTGTCACTAGCAATTAAATGGCTGAGATTATCACCCAGTTTCAGGCTTCCCTGGTAGCTCAGCTGGTAAAGAATTCGCCTGCAATGTAGGAGATCCTGGTTCTATTCCTGGGTAGGGGAGATCCCCTGGAGAAGGGATGGGGTACCCACTTCAGTATTCTTGCCTGGAGAATCCCCATGGACAGAGGAGCCTGGCAGGATACAGTCCATGGGGTTGCAAAGAGTCGGACATGGCTGAGTGACTAAGCACAGCATAGCACATCATCCAGTTTCATCTGAAAATGATGGATACTATGCTTGGAGGCTAATGAACAACACATATTCCTGAACATTTTCCTGGGATAAATAAACACAGCTTTTCAGAGGACCCCCTGAAGAGTGGATACTGTTGTTGTGACCATGCTATAAGAACTGTAAGAGCCAGTCATCATAATCATAGTGACCACTTGATCTCTGATGTCACTGAATGGGCTTCCATGGATCTTTGTCATTGGCTGAGTCCTATTAAGTCTAAGGACATTGCTCAAAAAGTGTCCACCATTCAGTCATTAAGCTCATATGGACAAAAGATTTAGGAGGAGAGGGCTGCCCCCTTAAGATGTTTATGAGCTCATGTCAGGTGCTGTAGAAGATGAATGAACAAAACAGGGTCCTAACTTCATGGAACTTTAGTAGGTTTGGATAAAATAATTGTGTTTTTTTTTTTTTAATTTAGTCCCTTGGACTTACAGGTTAGGACAATGGGTTAGAACTAGGGTCTCTTAGAGATTCTTCTTTTTCTCATTCATTTAGATTTTTGGATGCAACTGACCCTACTCTGGGCCTGACCCTAAATCAGGAAAACTGGTGCCCATGGGCCATGTTTTGTTTGTATGTTGGGAAATCAGGGAATTCAACACAAACATCCCAACTGCTGACTTCTCTTAAAAATTGCAATTTCTACCATCACTGGGACCTGAATTTATGTTTGGTGGTAATAAATTGTAGCTGAAAAGCTGCTCACCCAATGAGATGGACTGTGTGCTTTCCAGTTCACCAAAGTCCCCACCATTCCCTAGTGAACAAAAATTACTTTGTTCATTGCTATTATTTACCTGGCTCCTATGGATAGTCTGTGAAACCAATCCATACAAATATGATATTATGATATTATGGGAGGTCTTCGACATTCCCAGTACTTGCTAAGTGGAGAAGAAGCCAGTCTGAGGCCTTTGCTTAACTGAAATGGGCTGAGGGAAAAGCATTGGCACTGTGGTCAGCAGGATGCTGTGTGAGTGGAGAGTCTAGCTGTGCACTCTGTTCCAATGTCAGGGATGGAGAAGGAAATGGCAACCCACTCCAGTATTCTTGCCTGGAAAATCCTATGGACAGAGGAGCCTGGAAGGCTAAACAGTCCATGGGGTCACAGGAGTTGGACATGACTTAGTGACTAAACAACAATGTCAGGGATAGATACACAAACGTCATGACTTTGGGGAACTGCCTTATCCTCACAGTGTTTTTTTAAATAGGAGTATATTTGATTTATAATACTGTGTTAGTCTCAGGTGTATAGCAAAGTGTGCGCGCGCGCACACACACACACATATATATATAACTGAATATATATATAACTGAATATATATAACTGAATATATATATAACTGAATATATATATATGTACACATATGGGGCTTCCCAGGTGGCTCAGAGGTAAAGAATCTGCCTGCCAATGCAGGAGACATGGATTTAATCCCTGGGTTGGAAAGATCTCCTGGAAGAGAGCATGGCAACCCACTCCAGTATTCTTGCCTGGAGAATTCCATGGACAGAGGAGCCTGGTGGGCTACAGTCCATAGGGTCACCAAGAGTCAGACATGACTGAAGCAACTTAGCATGCATGCACATATATACACACAGATAATTTTCCATTGTAGATTATTATAAGATAATGAATATAGTTTCCTATTCTATACAATAAAGCCTTATTGCTTATCTATTTTATATATAGTAGTTTGTATCTGTTAACCCCTCACGTCTAATTTATCCCTCTCTCTTTCCCTTTCCCCTTCGGTAACGATAACTTTGTTTTCTATGTCTGTGAGTCTATTTCTGTTTTGTATTTAGATTCATTTTTATTTTTTTTAGATTCCATATATAAATGATATCATATATTTGTCTTTCTCTGTCTGACTTACTTCACTTAGTATGATATTCTCTAGGTCCATCCATGTTGCTGCAAATGACAATATTTCATTCTTTTACAACTGAGTAATATTCCATTGTATATATGTACCACATCTTCTTAAACCAATACATCTGTTGATGGGCACTTGGGTTTTTCCGTGTCTTGCTATTGTGAATAGTGCTGCTATGAACATTGGGGTGTATTTATCTTTTTGAATTAGAGTTTTTATCTTTTCTATGTATCCTTACAGTGTTGAAGTGATGCTTGCCTTCCCCATCTTGGATAGGAGGACTTAGTGCTCTGGACCTGGTAAGCATGATGGCATCTCATGGCTCTGAGCTCTCTATTTTATGGTGAATTACAACAAACAGGGTCTTGGGCTATAAGGTTCTGGTGCTATACCACCTGGGTATCTGATCTTAAATGGAAACATCCAAAGGGGGATAAACTCTCTTCATAAGAGCCTTGAGAGGGGAAACTTTACATCTGTTATGGTTCTACCACATAAAGGACAGCTGCTTGGTTTAAATTCTTCAGGAACATAAAAATAAGACCCAAAGTGACACAGATATGTATACATATGTATATGTATAGCATCTANTATGGTGAATTACAACAAACAGGGTCTTGGGCTATAAGGTTCTGGTGCTATACCACCTGAGTATCTGATCTTAAATGGAAACATCCAAAGGGGGATAAACTCTCTTCATAAGAGCCTTGAGAGGGGAAACTTTACATCTGTTATGGTTCTACCACATAAAGGACAGCTGCTTGGTTTAAATTCTTCAGGAACATAAAAATAAGACCCAAAGTGACACAGATATGTATACATATGTATATGTATAGCATCTACAAGATCTAAAATAAGTTAAAAAGTGATTTCATAATCATCTTCATTTAAAGGCCATGTCTGTTCTTCACAAAGTAGTAGAATTTGTAACTATACTGGCAAAGTGGTCCTTTTAACTTCACATAGTTTCATAGGGGATTCTTGAAAGAGCAGAAATGGAGAAAAGGGAAATTCTGCTATACTCAAAATAAGCTTGTTTTTTTTTGTCTTAAATTTTTATAAAGGATCCCTTCGTTACATCATCAAAGCTTCACACAAGCCACAGTTTAATGGAAGAAGACAAGGGNGGAAATTCTGCTATACTCAAAATAAGCTTGTTTTTTTTTGTCTTAAATTTTTATAAAGGATCCCTTCGTTACATCATCAAAGCTTCACACAAGCCACAGTTTAATGGAAGAAGACAAGGGTGAGGGAGCCTTGACCACTTTCAATGGGGAAACGGAGAGCTGTTGCCTGGTGTGGGTAGACCTGGGTTTCCATCTCCCCCTCTAAGATGCCCCAGATGGACCCTGTCTCTCCTGAAGCCTGGTGCTTCTCAGACTGGAGTGAGGATGGCTGCGTCTCTTACCTGGGGCAGCGTTCCTTTCACCAGAGCGGGTATGTCGGCCTTGGAGTAGCCAAGGGCAGCCAGGCCGTCATCCACATCCAGATCGAATAAGAATTTCCGCAGCGTGTCTGCCAAGACAGGCCCCGCATCTGGCCTCCTGGCAGTGCGGGTGTCAGCGCCTGGAAGACACAGAGCACTGACTGCAGTGGGAGGCGGAAGCCGGCCCTGGGTGTGATTCAGGCACAGGATAGCTGAATACACGACCTGCCGCCGGCTCCCTCACCCCGAGGACAGGGGCGCCGCTGGGCCTCCCCGCGGAGGCCGGCCCAGCGCTCAGCCCCGCCGAAGATGGGCCAGCCTGGGAGCCCCTCCAGAGAGGAGCCGGCGTGCGGGGTGGGGGCTCACTTGGCTGTCACGTTTCCAACGGGCAGCCGGCCCGCCGTGTGGTGGGAAGAAGAGGAACAGAGCCAAGAAAAGAGGCACAGGAAGGAGACCAAGAAAGGAGGCTGGCGTTTGGCTGAGGAGGATTGAGAAAATCTGTCTGTGGGAGCAGTTTATGTAACTTTCAGGGCTTGGAATCTGCTGACATCTAGAGGTCTATCCTTTCACTGTCCCTTCTCACAGTCACAGCTGAAGAAAAGAGGACAAGCCCTGGGTCTTGTGAGACAAGACAGAAGTTAGAAAACTCTGCCAAAAAGGAGGAAAATGAGATGAAAAATGGATTCAGTATGGCCAGAGAAGGAATATATCTCCTGTCCATAGCTAGAGAATTTTGGGGGGCTCTGTTGCCAAAGGGCAGGTTCCTTTAAATATCTTTACAGAACCTTTCAGGCAAATTTAAGAACAAGGAGTCTTTTAGAAAGCAGTATTTATTATGTAGGAAATGGCAGCCCACTCCAGTGTTCTTGCCTGGGAAATCCCATGGACAGAGGAGGCAGGTGGGCAACAGTCCATGGGGTCGCCAAGGGTCAGGCATGACTGAGCAGTGAACTTCAATCATATCAGTGAATAAAAAAGAAGGCTGCCAAGGGTTGGAGATTTGCAAGGGCAGAAGATGGTTGCATGGTATCATTGACTCAATGGTCATGAGTCTGAGCAAAATCTGGGAGACGGTGAAGGACAGGGAAACCTGGCATGCTGCAGTTCATGGGGTCACAAAGAGTTGGACACGACTGAGTGACTGAACAACAGTTTGGACATGATTACTAATTAATGCACAAAATCACAGAGATGTCAGTCTGGAAGGGCCAGGGGGTTCTGCCCTCAGGGAGGGTGGCAGTGACAGTTCTCAGATAGAGAACCAATCCCAAACCCTTAGCACCCTTGTCCCCCATCTATTCTAGCTAGACACATTCACTGCCAGGTAGTGAAGCAATCTGTAAACAGATTGCAGCATTATTTATTATCAAGAATGCCCCATGCTATAGTCCAAGTCCACTTTCTCTGTATTGGTCAAAAAGAGACTAGTATGTATGGTTTGCCTCCATATAGAAGTATATTATTAAATTAGGTTTAGCCTCTCTGTTCTCTGACAGAGAGAACTGTTTAAGAAATCCAGGAAAAGGTATAAATAGAATGAGATACAGAGCTAGTTGGGAGAGCAGCTGGACAGAAAGTAAAGCTTGCCTGACAAGACCAGTCTGTATTACATAGCGGTAGCTCAGATGTGGATTAAGTGGAGGGTGACACATGATACGGGGTTTATGAGGTTTTTATGTCCTCAAGATTGCTGCCATAAAACACATCATCCAAACCTCCAGGTTTTCCTAAGAAGTGTTTTAGAAAAAAAGAGAAGGTAGGAGAGAGAACAGATGGGTATAAAGTTAAAATGATCTAAGATACATTATTGATTTTGATTACAGGGAATCAAAATATATAATGGCTAATTTCCCAGGTGGCTCAGTGATAAAGAATCCGCCTGCCAATACAAGAGAAGATGGTTTGATCTCTGGGCCGGGAAGATCCCCTGGAGGAGGAAATGGCAACCCACTCCAGTATTCTTACCTGGGAAATCCCATGGACAGAGGAACCTGGTGGGCTACAGTCCAGGGGGTCACAAAGAGTCAGACATGACTAAGCGACTAAGCACAGCACACAAAGTGACCATAAATGTATTTCTTGTAAGATTCAAAAGGCACTGTGGGTATCTTATCATAGACGTGATTTATCAACAGAACAGCAAACAGATTCTTCTTTGGGGAACTTTCTATAAAGTTTCTAGTTGTTTAGGTTCTCTATAATTGGGAATTTACTGTTACTTCCTGAGTTAGACTCACTTTATTTCCTATTAAAACAAGAATCATTAGTAACATGAATAGTATACAGAATTTAACTTCCCTTGGAGATGAAAACAGGGGAAATACTATTACTATAAACTTAAAGTAAGCAATACCTGGTTCCATTTCATTGCTAATAGATTCTTAGAGACACAAAATCACAGGATTTTAGTGCTAGATAGGAATCTGGGAAGGTCACTGACATTGTATTATTAGATTATCTCAAAGCAGTATTTTTGGTATTAGTCTTTATGGCTTATCTTCAGAAGCAATCTTAGGAAATGCTCCACAGATGTGGGTCACAGAGTTATGATGAATGGTTCATACCCAATATCTCTGCCACTTTCAAGTGCCGCTCAGGAAACATCTGTGATGTAAACGTGAACACTGCAGGGGACGTGAGCACCACAGAAAGGCCATGAGGCTGGGGAGAAAGGAAACATGGTGACTGCCGGGGCAAGGCTGGTCTTCAACCTGAATACTCTAGATATTAAATTACTTTATCCTGTATTCCAAACAATCAAGAATTGACAGAAAACACTGATGGCAACTGACAGGAATCTAAGATTAAATTAAGGCATTTATTATGATTTTACCACCAGGGGATGATCCACATTGTAATCCTTTGCTTTATACGTCTTCACTAAGCCCGAAATTGGGTAAGACATTCCATGGCTAGAAAAAAAAATAAAGTCCTTATAGTGACATCTAACAGAAATTCAAGTTAACAATACAAAGATACTCTTATGGGAGAGCCCCTCACAGTCTCTTGACAGTATTATTAACCCACAAGGTTAGACATTTTGTTTACTTTGATTCCTATGAGGATATATTATTATGCAATTGATATTTGGTATATTCATTGACAAAACCACTGAAATGTTCAAAATCAAATGCTGATGAAACTACATGCCATTAAAAAGTACTGACGCAGAAGTTGCTCCTCGAGCACATTAGTTAACCTTATGATCTTGAAGAAATCAAGAATTCACTTTGAAGTTTTTTAAACAATCTTCAGGGTATGCATTTTCTATCTTTCTCGGCACAGCCTTGGCAATGTGCTCCTTCACAAACTGAAGATGTTGGTGGGAGTTTTACGAACCAAGATGTACTGTGCTAGACGTGCAAACTTGTTCCACCAGTGATCCGTCTTGCCAGTGATTAATACGTTCTTTTAAAAGCTACGTACTAATGGGAACTGAGTCATACATGATGATTTCAGTCTGAAAGGCTATCGAGAAAAGGCACCATGGTTTTCATTTGTGGGGATTTTTTCTGTTTGTTTTAATGGGAAAACTCTATACTCTCTCAAATTCTTAGTGAACAAATAGGTGAATATAATAGTTTATAAGATGACTCAGAAGATACACACTGTGAGAAGTTAATATATTTACAATTAATATTTTGAAAATGAAATGTTTTACAATAGTAAAAGTGTCTGTTAATGTGGGTTTTATTGGATGACTTTGTTATTAGTCAGTAAAAAATTTATATTTCATAGAAAGATGAAGTGTTCTGGTGAATTATGTGGTTATCTAAAAAAAACAAAGGTGCCCCATGCCTGTCATCACTCATAAAGCGGATCAGAAGGTATAAGCTCTCTGAGTTGTTGGATAGGAACGTGCTTTACTGTTGTCAGGCTCCATAGTATTCAGAAAATTATAGCTTGGTGTTCTTCCACTATATGAAAGGATTCATGTAGCTTTCAAAGTACCTTTCTAACAGTATCCAATATCTGATTTCTTTTAACCATTATATATATTTGTTGTAAAAAATAAAAATGATCCATAATCCTATTTCTTCAAGATAACCATTATAGAATATTCCCTTCTAGTCTTCTTTCACATATCTTTAATTTATGATTGTATTGTGCATTCGATTTTAAACACTGCTGTTGACTTAGGGCTTCCCAGGTGGTGCTGGAGGTAAAGAACCTGCCTGCCAATGTAGGAGATGTAAGAGACACAGGTTCGATCTCTGGGTTGAGAAGATCCCCTGGAGGAGGGCATGGCAACCCACTCCAGTATTCTTGCCTGGAGAATCCCCATGGACAGAGGAGCCTGGCAGGCTACAGTCCATGGGGTCACAAAGAGTCGAACATGACTGAAGCAACTTAGCATGCATGCACATGGTTACTAATATTCTTGAAAAATACTTTCCCATATAATTTTTACTCTTTTAAAACATTATTTTTGATGGTTTATTCTTTGAATACTTAAATTTAGTAACCATTCCCAAACTGTTGGGAATTTAGGTTATTCCTGAAATTTTCAATTATAAATAACTTTTTAGATGAATATCCTCATAAGGAAAGTCATTGATCATATCATGAGTATTTCTTTCAGCTACATTCCTAAAAGTAGAATTCATGGGGCAAAGGGTAGAGACATTTTCCAAGCTCTGGGTAGATTTTATTCATTTGTTTCTTAGAAAGTTGGTGCCTATCTGTGCTCCTCACAGCAGAGTTTGAGGGTGACCATTTCATTGCACTTCCACTAGCAAAGGCCAATTCTTTAAGAAACTTTTTATTTTGTATTGGGATATTGCCAATGAACAGTGTTGTGATAGTTTCATGTGAACATCAAAGGGATGCAGCAATATATATACATGTATCCATTCTCTTCCAAACTCCCCTCCCATACAGAGTAAGGGCCAATTCTTAATTTTCCATGTTCACTGGTTTTTTAATTTAAGTCAACATACCAATACATTTCTGATCCAACATATTAATTCTGGGCTATCAACAAATATTCTAATCCCTTCCTTTTTGAGAGAGATCAGGAGAAGAAAATCCTGCGTTTGGTGTTTGAAAAATCCATGACAGGTGCCAAGGATGTGGAGAAATCAGAACCCCCATCCACTGTTGGTGGGAATGCAAAATAGTACAGCCTCTTTGGAAAACAGCCTGGCAGTACCTCAGAATTTAAACACAGAGTCACCATGTGACCCAGCAGTTTCACTCCTAGGTATATACTCCATAGATGTGAAAACATAGGTCCACAGGAAAACTTATACATGATTATTCATAACAGCCAAAAAAGTGGAAACAATACAAATGTCCATCATCTGATGAGTAAATAAAATGTTAGGTATATCCATGCAATGGAACATTACTTAGCAAGAAAAAGGAAAGAAGTACTAATAACGTGTATGGAATGAACCATGGAAACATGATGCTAAATTTAAGAAGCCAGACACAAAAGACCACATATCATTTGTTTCCATTCTATGAAATGTCTGGAAAAGGCAAATCTATAGAGACAAAGTAGATAGTAGTTGTTTAAGACTGGGGGTATAGGAGGATTGGTAGGTGACAGTTAAGATATATGGGATTTCTTTCAAAGGTGATAAAATTTTCTAAATTTATTATTGTAATGGTAGCACAACTTGTGAATATACTAAAACCCACTGAATTATAAATTTTTAATGGGCAAATTTTATAGGGTATGAATTATATGTCAATAAGGCTGTTACCACAAAGAAAAAAAAATCTATGACCCAATAAACTGCATTTGAACTAAGAAAATATTATGGGACCCTAAGTTAAATTTCTTTTTTCTGTAGCACATTTAAAATCTTACAACACATCCTAAATGATAGACACTAAAATAAAATTTAAGGGCAATAGCTTAGGTGAAGAAATAAAATCTCAGATTTGCTCACCATAGATGAACACCAGCATTTCCAAAGCCAATGCCAGCAAAAGCACTCGCCAAGTGCATATTAGACCTTGCTTCAAGATCATCAGGATTTCTGACAGCCCTGTGGATGATATAAACACATAACAATAATATATCAACATTGGCATTTCCTATTGAAATAAAGAGCTGCCTTAGGGAAAGATCTGGGGGAGAAAAAAAAAGAAACACTACTCGATAGGAAGAAAAATTAGGCAAGTTATTCAAATGACACCTTGTCTTCTAGATGAAAACTGAAGGGAAATGTATTTTCTTATCAGTGGTTGCAGCAAAGGCATATATTATGCCGTCAGGCTGCTCATGTGATAAAATTAGCAGGGGAAGAAAGCACTGACCCTTAAACTGCAAAAGCTGCTCTAGAAAAGTGCCCCGAGACTCATTCTTCTTCTTCACTTGTCAATGACCTTGACTGTGGTTGCAAATGGACCTAAACACATGCTCAGGATGCATGGGTCCAGGCTGGTTAGATGAAGTGAGTCCCTGTCGCCTGGGGGTACCTACAGGCCAGACGAGCTGCCCAGACATCGTGCTTTCTGTCCAAATTGGACGCACTGGAGACCTCTTTTGGTATCTGCAAACTGCATGTTATTTTTATACTTTTTATTGTGGAAGTGGCATGTTATTGTAGGACGAGCCTTCGCTCACTCCATCCCTCCCCAGTGCCATACAGGAAAGGCCAATTCTCAAAGGCCGCTTTCAGATGTAGTTGAGCCTTCCTGCTCCAGGACTTGGAAGCCCTGCCCCAGGAGAGAATGCCTGGGACAGCCAAAGGAACCACTTCCCACTTGCTTTTCTGTGACTCTGCCTGGAATAAGGGTTCCTGCTCTGAAATAAAAATGCCACAGCCTTTTTCCTTCTTTTATCTGGAATAGTCAGGCAACTGTCTCTTTCTAAAACCCAGGGTCAGTTCCTTATTCCCGAATAGCAAGATGAAGTAGTGGATGGGGGAGTTGTGGCCTCTCCTCTGTCCATTTTGCCCCTTCACCTCCCACTGCTGCTCTGCCGAGCCTGTGTCCCTGCCACACACGCCGGCCGGCCATAATCTGTATCCGCTTCTACGCAGACAGATGCTCCCTGATGCCCCTGCGAGTCCAAGATAGTTCGTGATCCTCCCCCAGCTCTGTTGCAAAATGTGGTCCTAGACCCCACCCCTCCAGCCAGAGGAGGCCCTGTAGTCACATCTAGACCAAACCTGCCCTATTCTTTCCCTCTGTTGTGTATACATACAAAGATGAGTTTGACTTTGCATAAGTCTCAATGTCTTAGGGATCACTTTTCATCTCCTGGTGTATCTTTGCTCTCTCACGAGCCTGTTTCATGCATAAATCTTTCAAAATCTTGTGGGAATCTTTTCAGGAAGACTTTTCTGTCTCCCAGGACAGACAACGGTACACATTTCTTTCTTTTTTCTTTTTGGTGTGCCACATGACATGTGGAATCTTAGTCCCGTGACCAGGGATCAAATCTGCACCCCCTGCAGAGAAAGGGCAGAGTCTTAACCACTGGACCACCAGGGAAGTCCCGACATTTATTTCTTAAATTGGGGTTCATGTGCATTTGCTTATGGGTCGACCTTGTGTGCCTCTGGATAAGGCCTGGCGGGGCAGGACCAACATCTATCTCATGATTCTCATTTCTGCCCTTGGTGACCAAATCTCAAAGGACATCCCCCAGCTTTGGTTTTGAGGTTTTGATGAACAAACCTTCTGCATGTGCACGTGCTAAGATCCTTTAGTTGTGTACAACTTTGTGACACCATGGACTGTAGCCCCCCACGCTTCTCTGTCCATGGGATTCTCTAGGCAAGAATACTAGAGTGGGGACCATGCCCTCCTCCAGGTGACCTTCCCAACCCAGGGATCCTCCTGCATTGGCAGGCAAGCTCTTTACCACTAGTGCCACCTGGGAAGCCCCCTAAAAAACCTTCTAGCTGCATCCTTTATAAATCAGGCTCCTATGTAGTCCCCATCCTGGGCTTTGCCTTTCTAGATCGAGGGATCTGGTTTTCATCTGTCCCCTTGGGGTTCCCTCCAGAGGTTGCTGGTCTCTGGTGCTTCTGTATGCACAGTGACTGCTTTTTTGGGTGAACAGGCTTGCTCAGGACATTTCAGGATCTGGAGAGCCACATTTCATTAAGGTGGAAACTGGTTTCTCTGCCCTGTTTCTGTCCGCTCTGGGCCACGTACCTCTTCAGATACTTGGCAACGATCCGCAGTGCGTGGACTGCCCAGATGTCGCTGATGGGGTTGCTGCCCTGGTAGGCTGGCCGAGTGATGGGGCTTGAAGGGCAGGGGCTCCGCATGTGATACGGGAGGGCAGTGTAGGACTCCAGGGCATGGCTAGCAAGGAATAGTCAAAATTACCCAGTTGAAAGCATCCTCTTTTTCCTTCCCTCCATTCAGATCACAAACTGCCTCAGAATGCTTGGTTCTCACTCCCCCGTGGATATGCTTTGTAGGGCTGATAATCACAAGGCCTCTCACTAATCTGTCTCTTGTCCATGACAGTCATCACTTATTATAGAAATTAACACAGTGACAGGAGGAGGAGATGGTTGGATGGCATCATCAGTTCAATTGACATGGGTCTGAGCAAACTCCAGGAGACGGTGAAAGACAGGAAGCCTGGCATGCTGCAGTCCATGGGTAACAAAGAGTCAGACACAACTGAGTGACTGAACAAGAATGCAGTGAAGTCGGCATTAACAGCACTACTGTGTTTTTGACCAGTATGTGTTAAGATTACATATGGTTCCTTTCTAGTACCAATACATCTTTATAATGAATTTTTAAACATTTAAGTTGTGTTAAGAAAAGCACTAATCTGAAAAATGACTTCCTTCCAAAGTATATTTACCATTTTATACCCTGCCTTGATCAGATACCATATTACTGACCCAAGGAGGGTCATAATAGTTACACTAGTCTCCTATAAGTGTGCAGTGCAGTGGGTCAGCTCCCAGGTGTGAATTCTGGCACCAGGCTTTCCCACTGTGGGTCTGGAACTGGGAGACCCTGGGACCGGGAGAGTCACCATCCTCCTTGTGATTCTAAGGATGAGGATAGCTCTAGTATGTCTTTCTTCATGGTGCTGATGTGAAAATTGACACAGGTAAATTACTTAGCATATTGCACCAGCATTTTGTAAAATTTATCATTCACCATTATTAATGCTTGGCCTGAAAAACCATCTACTTCTTTTTCCTATAGGCTCTAAATTCAGGGTTGGCTATTTTAAAAAACAAAGTATCAGAGTTTCCTTTACCTACTGGCCTGCTGTGAATTCTAACTAATCAGGTGCAGAAGATGGGAATAAACAAAATCATGCAGATCAGTAACTCATTGGGAACACAGTATAACATGAACTGCTATGTGCGTGAGTTACACATCTCAGTGTTAGAATGGGGAGTTTACTCTCATCTACATGTGAGAGGCAGAGGACATCTTTTGAAACAAAGTATTAGAACTTCGAAAAGAATTAGTTGGTAGACAAAAGCTATGGGTTTGTGGTTCTAAATAGGAAATGTGCACAAAGCAATAAGGAGGTGTCCATGTGGGGCGGAGGGGTGGTAACAAGCCTGCCAAGGTGCAGAATTGAATTGTGTATCTGGATTCTGGGCCCAAGACTGGATCTGTCTTTCAGGGGTAGATTCACTGAACTGAGCTCACAGAAGTGTTAGTCACTCAGTTGTATCCAACTCTTTGTGACCCCATGGACTGTAGCCTGCTAGGCTTCTCTGTCCATGGGATTTTCCAGACATGAATACTAGAGTGGTTTGCCACTTCCTTCTTCAGGGGATCTTCCCCACCCAGGGATCAAACCCAGGTCTCCCGCATTGCAGGCAGACTCTTGACCACCTGAGCTACCAGGGAAACTGTGTGTAAAACTTGAAAGTCTGATTACTGGTTTCCAACAAGAAATAGAACCTCTGTCCATGACTGTCTAGTCCTTTGGGTTCCCCTAGCTAAACTGGGTGTCCACTGTGGTCAGCATGGTAAAGAAAGTCATTTCCTTGGTGGAGAGTATTCCTATTAGCTAGCCTCTTTACACTGGAGACAGTATTTTTGCTATGACATATCTGCTCAATTTTTTATAACCTGTCAGGGCTTACGTTCTCTCTGGAAAGAAATTGCTTCACTTTAAATTCCATATGCCACTAATAAAATGTATTTTGAAAGAAAGAAAAAAGAAGAAAATAGAACCTCTGAGGGGGGCAGACACCTGAGCCTACTAAATGGCATCTATTCTCCTTGTTGTCAAAGCTGTGGATGCTAACTTGTGATCACAAGGCCCATGAAGCCCTAACCAGGGTCACTGCTTCTAAGGTTGAATATATGGGTGTATCCATCTTCAGTACAGGCCACTGGGCCTCGGGGGCAGACTTCTCCTTGGACCACATGTGCTCTCCGGTGGCCAGTCCTTGCAAGGGCCGCTGCCATCACTGACTTTTGTTCTGAGCTCACGTCCCTTCCCTGATTGACAGCAAAGTCTGTGGGTCTGTAGGTCATTCATTTACACGTGACTGCTTTGGTCTGTTATATTAATATATTTATTATGCAGTTCCCAGCTAGGGAGGGTAATCTCATTTCCCTTATTTCCAAGTTATTAGAGGACAACTCTCTAAAGTACTGACAACATCGACCAGGATGGAGTTGGACACAGTTTTCTCCCATTTCTTGGCAGGCAGCGTAATGCAGTGAGAAAAGCAGACCATGGACTGGGATAGACCTGGACATCAACCCTAACTCTGCTGCTGCCTGCTTGTGTGAACTTCACTCAGCAGGTGTTAACTGAGTACCTATGATGTGACAGCCCCTTTGCTAAGGGACAGGGATGCAGAAGTCCGTAAGATTGTCCTGTCCTCGCCAAGCTCACAGTGCAGTGAGAGAGACATCATGCAGAGAGGAGCATCTCCAAAGCAAGGCACAGCCCCCCAGTGGGGAGAAGCAAAGTGCAGAATTCTTGAGGAGGTGGGGAGCAGTCAGCAAAGGCTCCATCAATGGCAGGATGCCCCAGTGGAAACGAAGGATGACTTCCCCAAGCAGATAAAGAGCTGAGCACTGGGACAGTCCAGGGCCAAAGAAACTTGGCCTTTAGACAGGAGATGTGGAAATGCAATGAGACTGATAAGGTGGAGGGGCGTGTGTGTGTATTTGCGCAGTGGTCATATTGTATTCAGGAAGCTTCTTGAGGCCAGTATGGAGGACACGTGGAAGGAATATGGGATGTGAGCAGGAAAACTGATGAGGAGGCTGCCGCACTCGATCCAGGCTTGAGCTGAGGTGGGACCATGAGGCTTGAGAGCAGCGGGCAGATGGGAGAGATTCAAGTAGACGAGAGTGAGCTCTGTGGCTAGGTGTAGGCATGAGACAAGGGATAAGCTCATACTATGTCCTGCTGCTCACTAGGGTAAGGAACCCAGGAGGAGGAGCTGTGAGGGGTGAGGGGGTGGTGGTGAGAGAATGGTCAGATTTCATCAACTCGAAGATGCCATCCATTATAAGATGCACCATTTTTAAAAAGTACCACTGAGGAAGAAAACCATACTGCATGCCACAGATATACAGATATGTCCTAATTTCAGAGATGATAAAATGAAGAAAAAATGTACATTCGCAAATGGATGGTACAGCTGGGGCCAGCTGAAAGTGAAGTGCCTGTGGGTCCCTGTGATGCCACTGGAACAAAGTGCCCAGAACTTGAGCAGAAACATGGATGTAGGAGCCATCAGCACATGGCAGCTAAAGCCAGGAGAATATGGGCTGTGGCTCTGGGCGAGTAGCTAAACGTCTCCAGTCCAGTTTTCTTTTCCGCCTGGCACAGAGCTGTGGGGAAGTGGTGAGGTGCAAGTGCCGACAGTGAGCCTGTCCAGCTCAGGAAATGGACACTCCTGTCCCTGCCCTCTTCCTCTGGCTGCAGCCCGGGGTCCCTGAGTTGGTGCAGCAGGGGCAGTGCTGTGGGCCTGAGGTGCTGCATACCTGTCTCTCTGACCCTGTGGTTGCAGCTGTGGCTGGGCTGGTGCAGCAGCTTTGTGACTCACCCAGGACCTCACCTCCTTTTCACAGCGTCAGCCTTGTCATCCAGGCAAGAGGATAACGACAGCCAAAGCTGTGGTTGTGGAGCACAATCAGTGAGAGCTTAGCAAGTGCTTTCAGCAGTCAAGTGCTGTGCATTGACCCAAGTCCCCAAAAGCCCCTGCAGGGGGCCTGGGTACCTACCAGAGCACATCGAAGCCACTGTTGGCGACCACCCGCCCAGGCATGTGCAGGGTGTGCAGAGGATCAATCAGGCCCAGTGTGGGTTTGATGGCTCGTGAAGCAATGCCTAAGACAGGGATTTGCAACACAGGCTATAGGTATGGACACAGTTTTTTAAAAAATCAAATAACTTTAGGGTAACAAATTATCCTAAAAAAATCAAAATATGAGATAAGATTCATTCTCATTTAGGGAGGCAGCAAGGAACAGCAGAAAGAGATCTGGAATCTGAAACCTGGGAATTTCAGGGCAGCTGAAGCTCCCTGCAGTTTACAAAAGCCACTATCCCATCTGGTCCCAGCTCCAGGCTGTAACTATAGTGGAGTATTTACATCATGCAAACACTACAACTCAGGGCTTATTTATTCGTAAAACTCTGGAGAACTGGTTTACCAGCACACTGCTGGTTTGGGTCCTGGCTCTGTGATTTACTGCGTGACACTGGTACATGTCTGTGCCTCTCTGAGTTCTCTCTCTGGAAGCTCTCTGAGTTCTCTGTAAAATCAGACTCTGGTGACACAGGGCCTCCCTCCCTCCCAGAGATGTTGTAAGGACCACATTAGATAACATAATAGGGAAGTCTTTAAAAAAAAATGTAAGGGAGAATTTAAGTGTCTCTTACTATTATTAGTGTCTTTAACAATGTCACAGGATAATATAATTTAATTTAAAAATAGAAGTTACCATAAATGTGAAGTTTATTGCCAATGTGTTCTGCTACAAAGCCCTGGAAGAAGGATGCTGAGCCATCTCAAGGAGAGGGACATTGCTCCCAGATTAGCTGAGAGTTGGAGAAGATGATAGGATACAGATGACAAAGAAGGTAGAAGGCAGAAGAGTTGGTACTTGGGAATGGGGCTGGAGACATTAACTGGGAAGAAGCATGAGGGAACTTCCTGGAGCAGTGGGAATATCTATATTTTGATTAGGGTGGGGGGTACATGTGTGTATGTATTTGTCAAAACTCATCAAACCAGATTCTTAAAATTATACATTTTATTATTAAAAAATCACATCTCAAAGAAAATGAGTTAGAATGTAAAAAAACTAGGGAAGGGAATAACCATTTGTCATTGATATACAGTCACAAAGTTGGGCAGAAAAATGGCCCTGGTTCATGGCATTTCAATCTGCTTTTGTTGGTAATTCTCAAAAATGAGATTATTAGACTGCTTCGTACTCTTATATGTATCAGGGAAAAGAAAGAATATGTGTCTATGTGCGTACTCTTTCCTTAATTCTGTAACTCTTTGAATTTTAAATATTAGGATTAAAGAAAAGGGAGTGGAGTTGAGAGCTAAGAGAACTAAAAAACATTTATAGAGGATGTTCTTACCAGTTTTTACTTTCAAGTGTTCGTAGTCAAAAATGGCAACTCCGGTAGTTTCGCTCCCGGTGCCTGAGGTAGTTGGAACTTGAACAACAAAAAAGTTAATTTTAATGGAGCACCTAAATAAAGGTCAGTGGCGATACTTACCTCAGCCTCAGGAGATAAGGAGCAAAGTTAGAGAGGAAAGCTTTGTTGCTCTCGTTTATTCGCTCGATGTGTGTATCTGTGTTAACATGTATGCATGCTTAATGTGGATGGCCTCCCAGGTGGCGCTAGTGGTAAAGAATCCACCTGCCAATGCAGGAGACGTGGGTTTGATCCCTGGGTTGGGAAGACCCCCTGGAGGAAGACACGGCAACCCACTCCCAACCCATGGCAACCCAAGTATTCTTGCCTGGAGATTCCCATGGACAGAGGAGCCTAGTGGGCTATGGTCCATAGGGTCACAGAGTCAGACACCACTGAAGCAACTTAGCACACACATGCTTGATGTGTGTGACTGTGTCTGCATTAACATGTGAGGAACAGGTCTGATCCCTGTGCTGGCATTAACTTTCTGGCATCTGTGTTTAACGTGTGTGTGCTGGCATTAATTACTCATGCATTAATACTCAGTATATATGAGGTACACACCTACATTAACATGCATGTAAACCTAATGCATGTGTATTTGATACGTATGTATGATGCTTGTATCTGTGTCAGCATGTATGTCTGATGTCCGTATGGTGCTAACATGTATGTATGCCCAGCATGTATGTACCACATCCACATTTGTATTACACACATGTGTGTTTAAGGTGTTATGTGATATCTGTTTGTGTATTAACAGGGAGGCACTCTGGGAGTCCTGGGCTCCCCCAGGGCCAGAGTTTAAGCAGCTGCAGCTTGGAATTCAAAAGCAGGCCTCTTGCCGTCTCTGGGAAGAAAGCTCATATTTGCCATCTCTAAAAGACATCTTTATTCCCCCTTGGCAGCAAGCACAGTGACACCCTGCCTTTGCTGGGCTCTGCGGTTTTGTAGTTCAGTCAAGTTTCTAAACTTTACTAATCACCCCTCTGTGTGATGCTGACACAGTTTCACCACAGGGTTCCAATCTCCAGACGTCAATTATGCTGCACCCCACTGATCCCTCATTCACGTCAAAGCCGGTCATCTGCCGTCAACTCACTCCTGTCCCAGCACAAGGCTCCGTCACAGTGGGGGTAGGGGAGGAGTGGGGAAGATAGAGGACAAGACATTAAGCTGATATTTTCCAGTTAGGGCATTTGAGCTGTAAGGCTTTAAACGGTGATGTGCTGACAGCCATAAAATGGAGGAAAGAAAAGACCAAAAGATCCCCAGGTCTGCGTGGACCAGACGAGTGAGCCCGATTTGGGTTTGCGTGTCTGTGTCCTATGTAGCCACAGAGCAGATGTCGGCCAGCGTGACAATGCTATGCTGGCCACATGTCCTGGGGCAGAGACAAAGCCCCAGGTCAGCTGCGGAGCCATCGTGTGCAAGAAAGGGTTGTCAGAGGAGCCTAGTGGGCTATGGTCCATAGGGTCACAGAGTCAGACACCACTGAAGCAACTTAGCACACACATGCTTGATGTGTGTGACTGTGTCTGCATTAACATGTGAGGAACAGGTCTGATCCCTGTGCTGGCATTAACTTTCTGGCATCTGTGTTTAACGTGTGTGTGCTGGCATTAATTACTCATGCATTAATACTCAGTATATATGAGGTACACACCTACATTAACATGCATGTAAACCTAATGCATGTGTATTTGATACGTATGTATGATGCTTGTATCTGTGTCAGCATGTATGTCTGATGTCCGTATGGTGCTAACATGTATGTATGCCCAGCATGTATGTACCACATCCACATTTGTATTACACACATGTGTGTTTAAGGTGTTATGTGATATCTGTTTGTGTATTAACAGGGAGGCACTCTGGGAGTCCTGGGCTCCCCCAGGGCCAGAGTTTAAGCAGCTGCAGCTTGGAATTCAAAAGCAGGCCTCTTGCCGTCTCTGGGAAGAAAGCTCATATTTGCCATCTCTAAAAGACATCTTTATTCCCCCTTGGCAGCAAGCACAGTGACACCCTGCCTTTGCTGGGCTCTGCGGTTTTGTAGTTCAGTCAAGTTTCTAAACTTTACTAATCACCCCTCTGTGTGATGCTGACACAGTTTCACCACAGGGTTCCAATCTCCAGACGTCAATTATGCTGCACCCCACTGATCCCTCATTCACGTCAAAGCCGTTCATCTGCCGTCAACTCACTCCTGTCCCAGCACAAGGCTCCGTCACAGTGGGGGTAGGGGAGGAGTGGGGAAGATAGAGGACAAGACATTAAGCTGATATTTTCCAGTTAGGGCATTTGAGCTGTAAGGCTTTAAACGGTGATGTGCTGACAGCCATAAAATGGAGGAAAGAAAAGACCAAAAGATCCCCAGGTCTGCGTGGACCAGACGAGTGAGCCCGATTTGGGTTTGCGTGTCTGTGTCCTATGTAGCCACAGAGCAGATGTCGGCCAGCGTGACAATGCTATGCTGGCCACATGTCCTGGGGCAGAGACAAAGCCCCAGGTCAGCTGCGGAGCCATCGTGTGCAAGAAAGGGTTGAGTCAACACCAGAAAAATGACAGCAAACATTCCCCTTCAACTCCCCAGTGGCTGCCAAAGCGGGACAAAACAGAAGGGCTCAGAAGACAGACCTGCCCAGAGAAGGGTCTGAGCATCTATAAACACCGGCCTTCCTTCTCCTCCACATAGTGACTTCATAACTGAGCCCTGCAGACCCCTACCACTGACCCAAACTGCCTCTGTCTGTGTAGTAATGAAGACAAGAATTTTAAACATGAATGAATTTTGAATCTATTTTGATCTCCAAACAAGGTATTGTATTAAAATGAAGAAATCAGAAAACTCTGGAAACACACACCCCAAAATCACTGACTTGTATCTTTCCTAACAGGGCTTCCCAGGTGGCTCAATGGTAAAGAAATCTGCCTGCCAATGCAGGAGACTCGAGTTCGATCCCTGGATTGGGAAGATCCCCTGGAGAAGGAAATGACAACCCACTCCAGTATTCTTGCCTGGGAGAATCCCATGGACAGAGGTGTCTGGCAGAGTACAGTACATGGGGTCGCAAAAGAGTCGGACACAATTTAGCAACTAAACACCATGATCAACGTCTTTCCTAAGGCCTTTTGTCACTTGCAAAATAAAACAGACAGTGTTTACCTGCGATCAGAGGTTTCAGCGGCACAGTCACAGGCTTTCCCTTCCCAATGGGGGCATTGACGTAGTCTAGGAAGTCAGAGTCAGGACTGGACGAATACAGATTAGCGGCTTTACAGGTGTCTATGGTGGAACCGCCACCCACGGCCAGGAAGGCATCGAAAGCTCCCTTTTTGGCAAATTCAATGGCTTCCATGAAGCTTGGATAAGGAAAAATGAATGCCATTATGTCACGATTTCTAGAAATAAATTGCCATGCAATTAAATAGGGCTTCTCTGATGGCTCAGACAGTAGAGAATGCCCCTGCAATGCAGGAGACATGGATTCGATCCCTGGGTCAGGAAGATCTCCTGGAGAAGGAAATAGCAAACCACTCCAGTGTTCTTGCCTGGAGAATTCCATGGACAGAGGAGCCTGGAGGGCTATACAGTCAGGTCTGGGGCATATCAGCACTGATATGTATTGGCTTCTGCTTAAAGTAAATTTAACAACAATAAAAGAATACCTTGTATCAGTTGGTTCCACTCTCACATGGTCATAAACCTTAAAGTTTATACCATTCTTCACTAAGGAATCCATCGCTGTCTGTACAGGAGGGAGTTGGGAGAGGTTCTTGTCTGTCATCAAACAAACATTTTTAGCACCCATGTTTTGTAGGTCCTACAATAACAAAAATAACTTATAAGTTAAGTTTGATTACACAAAAAATGTAATAGACACTTCTGACAAAATTGAGTCCAAAATAAAGGACTCCCATCAAAGACTAACCAGGCCTGACCCTGCTTAGCTTCTGAGATCAGATGAGATTAAAACAAAGTATCAACAGTTGTTAATATGTGCTTGCTGTAAAAAATATATATATAATATTTATAGTAGAAGACTGTAGAAATCTTAAGTACTTGCCATGCCCACTTCCTTTGTAACTCCTGCTCCATATCTAATAGTTGAAACAGCCATCTGAGGAAAAATAAAAGATTTAGGTGACAGGTGTTTGGAGAGTTGGTTACTTCATTTCTAAAACCCTGAAACCATTCTTCATTGTCTGGATAATAAAGTATATACGCCCCAGCATGGCCTTCTAAGTCACCCCAACCGGCCTTACACACATCACACTTCTTTAAGCAAACATTCCTTCCAGTCACACTAGAATTATGTATTTTTCCCCAAACACTTCATAATCCTCATTTGTTTCCTCAGCTTGACATGCCTGCCTCTTCTTGCCTCCACACCTAAATGAGTTCTTCAGTATTTTAGTTTCCAATGTTAATGTTGTTGTCTCTGTGTATTTTTCATGCCTTCATTCACTCATCCAACCATTCATCTATCCAACCCCCATTGCATGCATGTATCCATCCCTCCATCCATCCATCCTTTCATCCAACCAACATAGTGTCTGCTATGTTCCAGGCATGTGATAGGCTCTGGTAGTACAACCATGAAGAAGACAAACATGGCTTCATAGTTTACAGCCAAGAGAAGAGCTTTTATACTGATGGAGGATGGGTTACTTTTGGTGTGAAGTCATGTTTTGTTTGATCCATGTTATGTTTAGATTTCTTTTATTTCTTTTTGGTTTGGATAGTAACTCTTATTATCCAATTAAAGGAAAAAACAAAACAATGTGACCATCTGAATTCCTATCTCTCTTGAATAATCAGGCAGCATGTATGCACGCTAAGGCGCTTCAGTCATGTTCAGCTCTTTGCAACCCCATAGTCTGTACTGCACCAGGCTCCTCTGACCATGGGATTCTCTAGGCGAGAATGCTGGAGTGGGTTGACATGCCTGCCTCCAGGGGATCTTCCCGACCCAGGGATCGAACCTACGTCTTTTATGTTGCCTGCACCATCAAGTGGGTTCTTTACCACTAGCACCACCTGGGAAGACCTCAATCAGGTAGTATCGGCTGCATTCCAGTGTGGCAGCAGCCAAGTGGGGCCAAGGGCAGACTGGACCCTTTAGACGGGCCAGTGCTCGCAGCCAACTCAGCCCCATCCTTCCAGTCTGTGCCTGGAATGATTAACTGTCAGGCCTCTGGTCACATTTTAATTTATGATCCCTGAACTAGGAGGAGACAGAGTTTTAACATATAATTATGTAATCACAGTGTGATAAAAAATTCATCAGAATTAATCCTTCCTTTATTCCTGCTTCAAAGATTCTACTTGAATCTCTTTTGGGGTTGTTATAATTACAAAAGTAAAGAAGATTTATCATACAACATATAAGATGGAGTTTGTAGAACTGGGAATCTGTCCTGTTTTAATGGCTGTATGGAAGACAGTATTCTATGCATTACTCATGTTACCAGAAGATTTATATTCCATTATCCTGACAAAATAACTTTGCTAAATAGGTGTTGCTCAAACAATAAGGTTAGGGAACATCAATTAATAACAGACTTCAAATGAGATAGTAATGCATTAGGGAGATACTCTGGTTGTATTTTTTCAGGTCATTCATAAAAGAATGAATGAAGGGGGACTTCCCTGGTGGTCCACTGTCTAAGACTCTGCTCTCCCGATGCAGTGGGCCGGGGTTCAATCCCTGGTCAGGAAACTAGATCCCATATGTCAAAACTAAGAGTTTGCATGCTACAACTAAAAAAAAGATCCCACTTGCTGCAATAAAGATCCTGCACGTGCAACGAAGATCTGGCAGCCAAATATTATACATACAGAAATAAATATTTAAAAAAAAGAATAATTAAATCTACCTCGAAGGCATAATCTGTTGTTTTCCCAGAAGGTGAAAGTCCAGGAGCTAGAAGTAGAAAAGTTAGCATCAGAGTAGGCCTCAGAAACAGAGCAAAGATGTTGTTATTTGATAGTAAATTGGGATTTCAGCAGTGAATGTAAATATTTCCTTTGACGCCTTACTTAAAATACATTTCTCAGTTTCATTGTTGCCTATTCAATTCAAATTAAACTCTGCATTTTAAGAGAATGTAATGCTAACTTGATGCAGATTGTGAAAATAAAGTTATTTAAAATCTTTTCTCCATTGAAATTAAAATATACTTTTGAAAACATAATGAGTAAAAATCTGCTAGAAAAAATCCTCTAGACTCAATGGAGTTTGATTATTATTAGAGAACAACTATTAGTAAATTCATTCATTAGAGTCCTGCTTACACTTCTTTAATAACTGTGATTATTTAAATAAAACTTCTCTCTATGGAGGGTACTTATCACACTAAGATATTTTTCAAGCTTACCCCTATGAACTATTGAGTTTTCTCTGGGAAATTTAATAAAAATTTTTATAAATGGATATTTCTTTGCAAGGTGCCAGGTTTAGTTGTTGCAAAAAAAAATTTTTTTTGTCTTATTGGAACAACAAGAAGTCTCTAATTAGTGGATTTTATCTTTGTTTTCATCTACTTATTGTTATCAGTCTTGACCAGCCATAAGATTGAAAAAAAGTCTACAGAACAATTTTCACTACCATTTTTTTTACAAGACAAAGAAAAGAGACCACAACTGGATAACAATCTACCTTTGGTAGAGGGCAAGGGTATCCTTAATCATATTTCAAATTTCTTTGATACTGAAAGTCTTTAAAGAAATTGTCTATTATCCCTGTAACTAAAATTTAGGAAAAGACATATATTGGATCTTAGAAAACACTGAGATTATCTTTCTCTAAATTACTAATTTTATTGCCCCAAACAGAAAACATTAGTGATTTGTTGTTGAAACTAAGTTAACAATTGCAGAAAAGCAGCTGAAGACAAAATTCTATATGTGTCCATGAGGGCTGAAAAGGCATGGCATGCTTCTGCTTGGTGGATAGCTGTTAAAGACTGGGGTGGTCCCTTGGCTGGTCCTAAAGAATGAGTCACTCTCATGGCAGGAAATAGTCCTTGGTTAGTTACTCTATCTGTTCTACTCCCAACCAGCTTCTTGGTGAGTTTCTGTGTAGGCTCCTGTATGTGCAGAACCCTCCTTTTCATCCCTTACCACTGTTAGGATGTGACATTTTCTCCTAAGAGGTGAAATCAGTTTTAGATGATTTAGATGATCAGATATGACATTCTGGGGACATGCTGAACTTACAGTGAGCTCCTGCTGCTCACTATGGACAATGGATTTCGTAAGGATTAAGATGTCTGTAGGAACAGAAAACTTTCATCATTTGTAATTATTAAGAAATAGAGTGTTATTTTAAACATCAATACAAACTTTTTTCCTTCTGGGAACCTTACTGTTCTTGAGACTCTTTTTTGGAATGTATAAGAACCTTTCAAAGATTTCATCTTGATTAATTCTGTTTGATGAATTCAGACCATCCTAAATTCCTATTTGCGTTACCATTTTTAGCTTTGGCAAATAATTCTATTTCAAAAAGAAAGGCACTATAAATAGCATTAAATGTATATTTGAGCCAAACACATAATGAGTAGCATACTCTATGTCATACTCTATGTCATATTCAGCTGACATAGTTAGAACTGTTGTTGTTCAGTTGCTCAATCATGTCCAGTTCTTTTATGACCCCATGGACTGTTGCCCACCAGGCTCCTCTGTCCATGGGATTCTTCAGGCAAGAACACTGAAGTGGGTTGCCGATCCTTCTCCAGATAATTGGAACTACATGTTACCAGTTTCAAGTGCAAAGCATCTGCATCAATCTTCCTCTCACATGCTTTGACTTTATCCAAATGCATTGCCAAATGTGGAAACTGAAATTGTGGCTAAACACAAAATGTATTATTACCTTGGGAATAAGTATGAGAATGACTTGGGCACTGGCATCTAGGGAATCAGAAAAAGAAAAAACTAAAGTGAAACCAGAAAATCTGAAGCTAGGAAGTTTTAAAGTAAGACACATTGCATTCTAGTTTTAAGATGCTCTCAAAGTAGCGGCTGTTGACAAACACTGCACAATAGAAAAAGCCAGAAATCACTGTTGACATAAAGCCAGCTCGAGTCTTTCCAGCATTGTAGGATCATTCTCCCACCAATTATTCAAGCAGCAGTTAATGCCCATGGGGAACTGAGATGAGTGCTCCTGGATTACAATAAAGTTTAAGATGAGGTCTCACCTCTTACTAGGTTAGGAGCTTTGGCCAAATTGACCCAGTGTTAACTACTCTCACCTCAGACGCCAACTCTCCTCCGGAACTTTCCTTGTATTTTCCTGTTATCTTCAGGGTGTTTGGTTCGTCTTCAAACAGGCTCTGGGCTGCTTCCTCTGACAGCCCTTTGTGGCCTGTAGGCCCCCTCTGGTCACCACGTGGCGCCTCCGGCCCTTCTGGCTCAGGGCTTTCGTTGCCTCCCCAGCCCCGCCCTCCGTGTCCCCCTAAACTGAGATCACAGCTGTCACCTTCTTCTCCCCAATCCCTCACCTCAGTCTGCTCCTCCACAGATACCCCACGCCCTCCTCTTTCTAGAGCTTCCCTCCCTTAGCTTCCACATCCTGGTCGCCTCCTAGTCCTTGGTCAGCGCCTTCTCTGGCTTCCTGTTCTGTTGACCGCCATCCGATTGAGCCTCGCAAAAGGGTTTGTTTCTATTGCCCAGGGGACCCTGTCCTGGTAGGTCCCGCAGGTAAGCGCGTGCAGACCCCCCAGCCCCCAGCCCCACCCCCNTCTTTTCAATTAGGTATTTTGGAAGTTAAATTGTTGTAACTGCTTTGCTGTATTCTGATGCAAAAATTCAGGTGTATTTGTTCCTATTTTTAATTGTCAGTCCTAAAGACATGCGGTTTAATTCAAATGTCTGGTGTGGGTCAGTGGAATTAATTTTAATTTTTTTTTACTTTTAATTTTTATATTGACTTTCATATAAAAGTTTCCTCTCATAAACAATTTTTGTTGACCATGTATAAAAATATTCATGAAAATAATTTTTTTCTTTTTCAGTTTTAGGAAAAATATATACAAGGGGAAGAGACTTAATATTTTTGAGCTTAAGGCAGTTACTGAAGAGGCACCTGAAACAGGTTTGTCAAGAAAATAAGACTGTTCTCCTGCGTCGAAAGTGATCCTGGGCTGCCTGTGCCCTGGTCACTGATACCGGAGGGAGAGGAGTTGCTGACAGATCTTTCCCCGTGTTTGAAGAGCCTAGCCATCCGTTCCAAACCCTGGAGTTTTCACACACTAGCAAAAAAAAAAAGTAACACTATTTCTCAGGCTCGTGGAAACATTCTATCTTTGGAAAATGTCCTATTTTGATTGCATAATAATCAGGTATTTTGAATTCTATCCTGTCATTGACCGTACTCATGTTCAGTCTTGTCTGACTCTTTGCGACCCCATGGACTATAGCCCTGCCAGGCTCTTCTGATCATGGGATTTTTCAGGCAAGAATACTGGAGTAGGTTGCCATTTCCTCCTCCAGGGGATTGTCCTGACCCAGGGATTATACTCCCATGTCCTGCATTGCAGTGGATTCTGTACTCACTGAGCCATCAGGGAAGCCTTGTCTACCTGGATCTTGCTTATTCACGTAGTTGTTAACATGCTTGAGTTGGTCAGGTTTCCCCTTTGAAATGTTGCAGCCCTATGGGACATAGTAGGTAAGTACTGTCTGCTTCAGGGATCCACATCTATAGAGTGGCTGCTAACCTGGTTAAAATGTTAATGATCAACTATTACACTATTTGCAACATACCTCTGTGTTGTTACTTAAAGAAAAATTGTAATGTCTGCCCTAAGGCATCTTACTATCTAGAAGAGGAGGTGTCATTTATAGATGCTGACTTGTAGAAATGGTTTAAAGATTATTTAGGAGACGGGAAGGAGAGCATTCAGGAAATGTATTTAGTGGACTGGTAGTGTTTTTTCTTAACTCACTTAGCTGGTTAGTTTTTGTTCTCTTCCTGCTTTCGGAAAGAAGTCAAATTCCTTAGTCACCATTTTAATCCTAATTAAAAAAGAACTAAGAGTGTCCTCTTGCTTGACGTTAAATTTGGTTTACTGATAAAGTAAGTGAAGAAACTCCATACAAATGATCTATGCTTATAAGTGACTTATCATTTCTAAACATTGTAAGTTAGCTTTTTGAACCTTGGTAGAAATAATTTTAGTTCTGATATTTAAGTTCCTAGGCCATCTTCTAGTGGCGCTATCAGTTATAAAAACATCTGATTTTCTCACTATTCAATAAATCTCTTGACATTAGTGGCTAGGTCTCTTTGATTTTTGTATACTGAATAGTCCCTAGCCAAGTGGCTTACAAATGATAGGAATCTGTTATCTTAAATCCTTTTTTTTTTTTTTTAACAAGACTAGTTTTCTGTGCAACTGCTAGGTCAAGTCACAAAACAAAAGCTAGAAAAATTCCCAAACAAAACAAACAACAAAAAATCCCAGACAGTTGAGAAGAATTTAAAAGGTGTTAAATGCTTTATTAACGGTTTGGCTTTGGAAGAAGCTGTTCAGGATACCATTATGTTTTCTTTTTTTAATCAATGGTTAAAACTTGCCATGGTTACATGAGAAGGGAGGGCTTACAGCACCAAGTGCTCCAGGCCCCAGTGGAAACGATGATCAATGATGGCACAGTTCAACTTTGTCAGAAGGTATAAGACAATAAGTTGAAAATCTGTGTTTTTAGTAACCTATTATGAAATCGGAATTAATCTCGTCTTCATAGCAATTTCTAGAAGCAACTTATAAAAATTGGACAACAATGGAAAGATGAGACAAACTCAATTTCCTATCAGGTGTCAGACCAAAAAGCAAGAGTAGGGTGGCTCACCAGAGCTATAATAGCAGAAAAGCCCCCCCATTCTAGATCTGTATACTGTGAATCCTTTTCAGGAGGTATTTAGTTTTACAAACATGAGTTACTGAAATCTGTTAGGGAAGGACATCCAGGATAACTGTAAATGTTTCACCGCCTAATTAGACCAGCTCAGGTCAATTTGACAAATGAATCAAAAGATAGTAGTAATATTGCAAGTAAGGATTTTGTAGGTTTCTTTCTCTCTTCCCCAAACAGATCCCACCTGAAGCTTTAAAAAAAAATCTGCGATATAAATACTGATAAAGATTTAAGTATAAAATTAGGATTAGGACTTCCCTGGTGGTCCAGTGGTCAGGATTCCACACTCCCAATACAGGGGGCCTGGGTTCGATCCCTAGTCTGGGAACTAGATCCCACATCCTGCAACTAAGACCCAGCACAGCCAAATAAATAAACATTTTAAAAAAATTACAATTGAGGATTATTACCATTATTTAGTGAAGCCCAAATTTATCATTTACAGCAAATTAATGTTTTCAGTGTTGAAAAGCATCAAATTTTGTTCTTGAAAGAGACATACTTTCAGTATTATATCTGACACCAAAAGCAGGATGAGTTTTTCTAATAAAGTGGCCTTGGTGAAATCATAATTTAGCTGCTACGTTTTCTACAAAGTAAATGAAAATAATCTGTACCAGGTATCCAGGTTATTGGCTTTACTTAAGATTACCAACAGTCAAAAAGTTAAAAGCAACATTAGACAGACACATTTTTAATATAAAACCTTTACAACAGTCCTGAAAATGTAACCTTTTTGTTCCCACCTGCTTTGATAAATACATAAACTTGGCATCAAAATAATGCAGAAACCAGCCATTAAGTCTCTCCCTTAAACCCCATCCAAGGTTTAAAGAGAAAAAAAAAGTCTGTTTTTAAAGTAAAACTCATTCCTAGTTTTCAGATTCTTTCCCTAATTCAGATATCCTTAAATACAACCTTTAATCTCCAGCCAGAGTTTTGGTTGTGGGAAATACATTAATTTGTCCAGTCCAACATTTACATATCATCCTCAGAGGAGGGCAAACCTGGCCCTTTAACCTCAAGCTCAATGAAGGCAGTGGCCAAATCTTGTGCATCTGGGTACTGTATCTAGAACTTAATATTAAGTACAGTTCTTGGTTTAGGCGAAGGTCCAAGGATGAAATTTACTTCCTCCTCTTTCCTCCTTGGTGTTGCCCCCCTTTCCTCTTGCCACTCAGGCCGGGAGGCCCGGAATTCATCTTGCCTCCCCAACCCCCTTTCCTCTTCCCTCCTTGGCTGGGCGTGCCCCCTTTCCTCTTACCCCCAGGACCCTGTCGGCCCCCCTTTCTCTTGCCCTTCTGACTCATTTTCCTCCGCTTAGCCGCCTCTTCCTGGTCCTCCTCTCTCATCTGCTTATTGGTGGCCCTCGTAATGTCCAACTGAGGCTTTTTGCTGTTCATCACTCGCAGCATCTCCAACTGGCTCTTTCTCTCGGCCGCAAAGTCCCCGAAAAGAGGCTGAAACTTCCTCTTCTTGCCGGAGCCCCTGGGCGCCTTCTCCTTGGGCAGGCGCTCCTGGAAGCGCCCCACAGAGGCAGTGGAGACCTTGGCCACCTGCATGGCGCGGCCCAGCTCCTCCTTACTCTGGTGTCCTGTAGGGTGCATGCCGGCCGCGCTGGGCAGCTGCATTTTGTGCGCGCGGGCCAGGTTACGCAGCCGGTTCAGCTCGTTCTTCGCCACCCGTTCCTTCTTAGCCTGAATCCGCTTGGCGAACTGGTCCTCCATGGGGTCGGCATTGCCCGGCACCTCGATCAGCCACTCCTTGGTGTCGTCGCGGGCGCGCTGGTAGCCCCAGCGGCGGCGCCACTGGCCGCTCACCTCGTCCCACACCAGATTGGTCTTCTTCTTGGGACGGATACCCTTGAGGCGCGCAAACTGCTGCCAGCGAGTAAGCGGCCGCGGCCGGGGCACCGGCTTCTCGCGCGGCAGACGAGTGCTGGGTTCCGGCAGCCGTGCCACCAGCGCCTCCTCCACGCGCTCGGTAGGCAGCTGCCACAGCTGGTTGATGAGCAGCTGCGTGTTGTCCCGCGCCAGGGCCTTCAGCTCGGCCTCCTGTGTGGGTCCCGCGTGCCGCAGCCCGGTCGGGGGGTTCCGGTCAGAGGCCAGCAAATTACCCAGGTCGAACTCCAGCTCCAATTCCTTGTGCACCGTGATGCGCTGCAGCTTCTCTGCCTCGTCCCGCTCCGCCTTTGCCAGCATCTCCTCCACGCTCTGGCCCTCCATGGCTCCGGTTCGGCTCGCTGCCTTTGGGAGACGGTTCCAGTCACGTCTACTCCACAGAAGTTAAAGCCGCCACGCCACAGACACGTGCGACCTCCCGGACACTCGACCCGGAAGAGAAAGTTCCGCTTCCGGGGCACCCGGAAGGGGCTCATGGAGTGGGCTACCCGAGGATGGCCGGCAGAGGGCGGTGTTGGAGAACAGAAGAGATTAGAGGCGGCCCTTGGGGTGGAGCCGGAGGTAGGCGGAGCC